GTGGTGGTGGTGGTGGTGGTGGGAATCGTCGTGGTGCTCGTGGTGGTGGATGTGGTCGTTGTCGTAGTGGTGGTTGTTGTGGGCGTGGTAGTGGTCGTGCCAGTGGTGGTCGTCGAGGTGGTTGTGGACGTGATAGTAGTCGTGGTGGTCGTAGTGGTAGTCGTGGTGGTCGTCGTGGTGGTTGTGGACGTGGTAGTAGTCGTGGAGGTTGTGGTGGTCGTGGTGGTCGTCGTGGTGGTTGTGGACGTGGTAGTGGTCGTGGTCGTAGTCGTGGAGGTCGTGGTGGTCGTCGTGGTAGTTGTGGACGTGGTAGTTGTCGTGGTGGTGGTGGTGGTGGTCGTAGTGGTAGTGGTGGTGGTGGTGGTGGTGGTGGTGGTGCTGGTGGTTGTTGTGGATGCGGTCGTAGTGGTTGTTGTTGTGGTGGTGGTGGTGGTGGTTTCGGTGGTCGTTGTGGTTGTGGTGGTTTCGGTCTCTGTCGTAGTGGTGGAAGTCGTGGTGCTTGTGGTGGTGGATGTTGTGGTTGTTGTGGTGGTAGCTGTCGTGGTGGTTGCTGTAGCAGTGCTCGTCATTGTTGTTGTGGCCGGCAATTCCTCGACCGTAGTCTGGTGAGCTTCCACCTGCTCCGGAACGACGACGATGGGTTTAACCTGCATGTCCTCATCCTCATCGTCAACTTTCTTATACGTCGTGGTCGCTGCCGGAGAAGTTCTTGTCGTTGACGGGCTCTCAGTTACAGTTCCGCTGGTGCTTGAACTTCCATCATCGCCAAACTCATCTTCGTCCGTGAAGTCCTCGTCGTCCTCTTCCTGCTCCGATGTGGATGTTGCTGCTGTGGAGTGCACGTCCTGAACGACATCTTCGACTTTCAATTCTTCAGTCGTGATGACTGCAGAGACTGCAACCTCGGTAGTTGATGAAGTCTGCTGTGCTTCCCCCACCTCCTCAGTGGTTGTTTCTACCGAGCTTGGTTTTGCTTCGAGGGCCACAGATGTGCTTTCTTCGGCTTCTTCGGACTCGGTGTCGTCGAAGTCTCCTTCGACCTCCTGGGCTGTTGTGGATGTCTCAAGCATCCCGTGATGCTCAGTTCCTGTGCTTACGTGGGGCTTGCCTGTCGTCTCTTCCGGTGCACCAGAAGTGTACTCCCAGAACTGGTCCTCATCTTCATCTGAACTGCTCGCTTCCTCCGTGGTGACTGTGGTAGCAGTGGTGCTCGTCGTGGTTGTGGTTTTGACAGGACTTTCCTCCGCTGCGGTGTGAAAGACAGGTCGGACCGGTACGGGTGCTGAATATTCTTCCGGCGTAATCTCTAGAGGCTGGGGTAGCTGGTGTACTCCACCATGCTTGTAATTGATGGAAGGGTAGGTCTGGTGAATGTCCACCTGTGGTGGAGCAACCAGCACTGGCTGGACCGGCAAGTTGTCATCCTCAACTTCTTCGTCCTTCTTCAATGTAGTGGTGGTTGTGGTAGCACTGGTGCTCGCCACAGTTGCGGTTGTGGCAGGCGCTTCATTGGCCGTGGAGTGGAGTACTGGCTGCACCGGCACGTCCTCATCCTCATTTTCTGCGTTCTTGGTCGCTGCCGTGGTGCTACTTGTGGCTCTTGTGGCAGCCGTGCCAGGTGAGATGCTCGCCTCGGAGTAGCCAGTGTTACAGCAACTTAACGAGGAGCACCCTAAACCCTAAACCCACGCACAAAAGCTGAACTCCCGGGCCTCTGATGGCGAGCCTGATGGAGTCTGTCCCACGGCAATGGCATGCCGGCCCCCGGCAACTTCGCTCTCGGCCCGACTTAGATTGCAAGGCTGCATCACGACGCTACAGTTCACTACAGCCCTGGCAATGCTCCACAACGATCTACGAACATCATCACACGACGGAACAAACAGCAGCACTTCTCTGAAATAATGCCCCGGCTGCATTGCAACATCTCTTTCCTCCTGCCAGGCTGACCGACAAGAACTAGAAATTGGTCGTGTCATGCACAATGCACTCTGGAGATTTATCGGTCTGAATGCATTGGTACCCTAAACCTAAACCCACCCCAAACCCTAAACCCAGGGGGGTCCATCACGTGGAGCTCAGCGACTGCCGCAAGTCTTTCCAAATCCTGTGCCTGCAGCGCGGGAGTGAGGAAAGTGGGCTTCCCTGGACCCTAAACCCTATAAGCCCTAAACCCTCAGGACACTGTCTCCGCCCTCAAGCCAAAAATTACCCCAAACTCTCAACCCGTTTGCAGCTGGGCTCTAAGTGTCAGCCAGCAAGTCCGCCCACATTCTGAAGCCCAGCTCTCAACCCTACATCTGGATTTCCACCAGTGGAGCATGCTAAACCAGCCTTTTGCAAGGCTTCCATCTCAGCTGATCGGGCTTTTGATGCAGCATCAACCGGGTTCACCTCGGATCATCTCAAGCCATCTGGAGGGTATGGGGTTTGGGTGTTGAGGGGCTTATTGTAGAGTGTAGGGTGTTGATGCCAATGATAACAAGAGTGGTGAAAATACCGCGGGACTCGTAGCAAAAAGACGTCCAAAAGGGGTGCACTGGAGAACCGAGCGACCGGTGATCCATTCTGCAAGCCGCTCTGCGGTTCATCCACGTCAAGGTTTTCCTGCACAGGTTTCTCGTGCCGGAGAAGCTGCCAACATTGACTTCGCCGAGCGGCCTCAACACCAGACTCTCTCAAAGCCACTGCTCGAAGTGCGACCTGGGCAAAGACTCTTTCTGAGGTTCAGTCTCTTTCCGGGCTTTTGGAACCTCATGAAGAAATTCGCGGTTCTGAATCTCACGCGTTTGGGGGGGGGGGTTTTGAACAAGCCCTAATGGCAAACAGGGCCCAAATACACCTTTACTGGGCTCTTGCTAAGGGATTTATGTTAAGCTTACCATAATAAAGAAACCATATTATTTTAGGATAACAGATCCCGATTCTATTCTGGAATCTTAAACTAAGCTCCTGAATGAAGAGCCCAGTTTAACAGCGAAGCCCTTAGCCTCCAGAGCCCCCTAGGGCGTCAAAATCCTGAGAAAAAGGACAACCTGCAGCCGGCCTAAACCAAAAACCGGGTTTAGGGTTTAGGGTTTAGGGGTTTAGGGTTTAGGGTTTAGGGTTTAAGGGTTTAGGGTTTAAGGGTTTAAGGGTTTAAGGGTTTACGGTTTAAGGGTTTAGGGTTTAAGGGTTTACGGTTTAAGGGTTTAGGGTTTAAGGGTTTCTGGTTTAGGGACTCCTAAACCTTCCCTTAAACTACCAACGCCCGCCGTTTTGGGTATGGCCCCTTACAATAAACTACCAACACCCTCCGTTTTTGGTATGGTATCTAGAAACTCTATCGGAGGGTTCATAACAAGAACCTGCAAAAAAGGTAGCTTTGTGGTAGTTTAAGGTTAACCCTAACACCTTCATCCTATGCTGCACAGCGAGCACCCGACCAGTACCAGCAGCCAAGCATGCTGCATCGCCTCGGACGGGGGCAGAGTCCCTAAACCTAAAACCCTAGGTTTAGGGTTCACACTCTCGCAACTCGGACAATCCAGGCGAGGGTTTGAGGGTTTAGGCTGTGTGTTGATTTTTATGTGGGCGTTAGGGTTCTACTGTCAGGATCCCGTGGTTTCTGGCAGTCCCTTGTGGCTTGTTGGACTCGATACCGTTTTTCCATTGTAGCTCCTGTTTAGATCAATTTTATGGAAAAGGACCCTGAACCCTAAACCCTAAAACCCTAAACCTTAAACCCCTACAGTAGAGAAAGCAGTTACGGCAGCTCGGCAGGTGGTAGACTGCCGCGAGGTGCAATGGTGCAGTCCGCATTCTTGAAGCTGTGGGCTAGGATCTTCTGCATTCTGTGGACGCCACAACATGCATTCTGCTTAAAAGGGGGCCTCGTAATAGTTAGAATCGAGTGACCCATCACGAACCCAGAGCCCAGAAATCCCTTAGCTAAGGACTATAGCTTAAATCATAATATGAAGCCCCTTATAATTCAAGGTATATAGGTATATTCCTCAATTAAGGGGTACTGGGCTCTCTGGGAACATCATCCATTCTTCCGACCCCAATACTGTGCATGGATGGTTGCTAGTTAAACCCTCTGCTATCCCTCGACCCACCAACGAACCTCCATTACAAACACCCACTGTTAAGGACCATAAGGCGTAAAACCCTAAACCCTAAACCCCTAAACGCCTAAACCCCTAAACCCCTAAACCCCTAAACCCTAAACCCTAAACCCCTAAACCCCTAAACCCCTTTTGCAACAGGCTTTCCACTTCGCCCGGAGTTGG